AGGCAGGGCATGGATGAGATTTTTGCAAATTTATGCCATAGAAACGATTCGGTTTTGATCTGTAGTCCATTTGGCCCTCGAAGAATAATCGAAAACGGAGCGTAATGGCCAAAAATATCCCAAATGGATGTTGTATCCACGCACGAATTTCCAGTACAATTTCTGGAAAGACTGCAAGCGAAGAAAATATCCAAAAGGAATGCCCAAGCGTAGGTCCAAGAGTTCCGATGAAGAAAATAGGTTCCCAGTGTTCCCAGTAATTCTTGCGCTCATCCAAAAAAGATACTCCCCCGAGTAAGGAAGCAGTTTTATACCCTCGATGACTCCTTAAAGGGTATTCCCATTGTCACGGCAGTGTTCTCTTTTTTTCTGCTCTCTGGTCTTTGTTCTTTGAATTATGAGAGAGCAAGCGAAAGCAAAGGACAGGCTGGGGGGGCTGTGGGAGTGAAAGTTATGGTCTACACATGTTGCTGTCGTCTAATGCCTGTTGTTGTTCCCTCTGTGTTCCCTGTCCTGTTGGCTGTTTTTTTTTTCTGTTGTTGTTGTTGGAATTTGTAAGTAAGAAAATTGTTTTTGAAATGGCTAACAAGCTATTAGCAAACAAACAAAGGCAAAACGATGATGATGATGATGATGTTTGGGCGATGAGTCGCAGGAGAGACTCAAGAGGGGGAAAAGTGGTGGGGTAAATCGACTTAGGTATTGGGTGGGTACTGGGTAGGGTATTGGGGAGGGTACTGGGGAATTCCTTGGATCTGTGAGCTGATTGCCTCTTGGTCCTGCTTTTTTTTTTCTGGCTCCAAAGTGACATTTAATTCGATGGAACATCAATCAGAGGATTGTTTTCATCCATAAAATGATTTATGGGCATGCAAAAAAAAATCACTGGGCGAAAACTAACTACTATAAGCCAAAGAAGATCTACGGAAAAAGCACGGAAAGTCCTTTGAAAATCAAAAATAAAAAATAAATAAAAAAAAGAAATACTCTTCGATTAAAATTTGATAAAATAAAAATAGTAAAATACTAAGAAAAGTATTAAGACTGTTTTTGGTAAATCATTTCTCTCTCCCCCTCCCCACCGCTCGTTCGCATTTGCCCGCTCCTTATGTCCATCGATTGTTTATTCGATTTTTTCCAATTGGTAATTCATAAAGAATATATTAGAGGCCCCTGGTGGACCCTTACCTCCACATGGCGTACCTCTTGACCAGCTCTTCCACCACCCCTAAGTAGCCTCACTCCTCCCCCTCCCAGTGCCACACGTCTCTGCCTTTTCGCTGACCAAAAGAAGAAAAAAATAAAACACTTTTACCTTCAGGAAAAAGCGACAGAAGGACGTTGGGGGTGTGTGGCGGGGGAAACAAATGACAACCCAAATTATTTTGACACCATTCCCGTAAATGCTTGCCACACTTGCCACACAGGGAGCGAAAGAGAGAGTGGTAGCGGGAGCGAGGGAGAAAGCGAAACAAAAACAAAGCCAAAAACTCAAGTGGCGGCCCAGAAGAGGCGCCTAGACGGCCGTCTAAAGGGTGGCAGAGAGAGGGAGGATAGGGGATAGGTAGGCAACATATTGTGCCACGTTGCATGCAACATGAGAACAACAAAAAAAAAACAAAGAGAGACACGAGACTCGACTGGGAGAGAGAGAGAGGGAAAGTGGGCAGACAGACGACGGATGGGATGGGGATGCCCATTCGGATACGTGTGCGTGGCCATATTCGGTGGGGACCAAGGGGGAGGCATACTGCGATGGGAAGAGAGTGTGTAGCTAGGGGGTAGGTGGGGCAGAGACAAGTTCGCGCTCTGTTGCAAATTGCCAGTTAAAATTTTGCTGACATTTCAGCAGCAGCCAAACGTCAAACCCGGCACCAGGGGGACCCACCACTCCCACGGCACGGGTGGTGGGCGAGGGGATAGAGAGAGAGAGAGCGAAAACTAGAGTACTAGAGGAGCAAGTGAGAACGACAGGCAGGCAGTGATAGGGAGGGCGGGGGGAGGGTCAGTCGACAGTCGGATTTCGGTGTCTGGAAGTGTCAAAAGGCATTTTATGAGATTTTTCTGTGTGTGTTTGTGTGTGTGTGTGTGTGGGTGTATTTTTTTTGTGTGATTTTGTGTGTCCTGTAGCGATGAGTGTTGTTATCGAACATGTCTATCGATGAGCGAGTGTGGCTGCATGTGGATGCCCCCTTCAATTTTAGTCTTCTGTTTGTATTTATTTCCTGTAAGTTGGGAAAATTACCATTAAACAGCCAAATAAAGTGGAATTTTCTTTTTAATTTTTAATATTTTATTTTAATTTTGTTATTTTTTTTTAATTTTTAATATTTTATTTTATTTTCTTAAAATTATTTATGTGTAAAAATATTAGTGGACTCTTCTGGTCTCGTCCATTCACTTGGGGAAATATTTGCAAAGCGAAAATTTCATTCAACGAAGCTGCACTCTGTCTTCTGTCTCTCTTGCTCTGAAGAAGAATCGCGCACCTCAAACGACCTTCAGTTGCTTGCTGTTCAATCCCCCAGTCCCAATTCCAATTCATATCCCCGTAATCTTCGTCTCAAAATATTCATTCCGCGTTTGAGGCCTTCAGGGCCATGGGGGCGACCTTCAGCAGTGTGTGGCACTTGTACGAGTACGCGTACTCGGGTGTATGTACTCGTATTTGTATTTTGAGTAAATATTGACTCAAAGGTACCCCCAACCTCCTAACCCCCCTCTGACACCCAGCCAACGCAACGCCCCCCAAATAATCGAAGCCAAATTGAAGACCAAACATTAACACGCGCCTGCCTTCAGTCCACCAGTCCGCCTGCAGTCATTACCTCATTCCATCCATTCTCCCCCAGCCCTGCCATTTGTTCAGTCAGTCAATGAGCCAAGGGTAAGCAGCGTCGCGCACCAGAGTAAGACAGTGAGAGAGAGAGAGAGAGAGAGAGAGAGAAGGAGAGAGAGGTATTTAATAAACTCTGAAAACGCGTGTCGCGCCAGAAACGACATGGAAATCGAAACGAGGGAAACGAGTAAAAACGAAACGAAACCCAAAAATTGAACCCGAACCGAAGCCCACGAAGTGCAGGCCACGAACTGTGCGGGCAGCCCAGCACCCGAACTGCATTCAAATGAGTGGAGCGGAGAGAGGAAAGAAGAACGAGTGAACCCCACGCACCCCCCGCTCTCCAGCCCACTCCTCAGTCAGCAGCTCACTCCTCAGTCACCTCGCTCTAAGCAAGGCCTCTTATCTCTAGTGCGCCAGTATGTGTGCGTGTGCCTGTGTGTGTGTGTGGTATGCGGTATGCAAAGCGCAAAACAATAACAAAAAACCCAAACAACGAACTGCTAAAACTAAAACTAAAACAGCAGCAGCAACAACAACAACAACAGCAAAAGCAAAAGCAAAACGAGAGTGTTTGCAAGAGTAAAAGAGCAGAAAAAATATCTATTATTCGAGTACCTCTGCTGTAGCCATAAAGTAGAAGTAGAGCAACAACAACAAAAAAAGTAAAGTAGAGTGTGATAAAATGTCATTGAAATGTCAAATAAATGTAGAGACTGGGTGGAGGGAGGTGGGGGGGGGGGGGGGGGTAGAGCGGGGAGCGGATTATCACTTGACTTTGAAAGGGGAGAGAACCGCTTACGCGAACCCCCACTGCCTGCCTGCAGTTTTTATAACATTTTATGGCCTGGCAGCGGCACCAGCACAGGGACAGGAGATCTGCGGCAAATTAATATAAGAAGGCAGGAATAATGGGTACAGATAAACAGAAAGAGAGAGGAGAGAAAGAGCAGTGGAAAGAGTGTGGGCAGTACAGGAAACAGGGAATACAAGTTAAGAAAATTCTACCATAAATGGATGGAGAGAGAGAGAGAGGAAAAGCATTATAGAACTTATCGCAAAATCAAAACTTTTCCAGGTGAAAACTTCATTCAAAAAATTTAATTAAATTTCCATTTAATGCCCGTATAATTCCCTCCCGAATCTACTGTTTTTCTCATTATTCCAATTGATCTGTAAATTACCATTATTTAAATTAAATTAGTACAAATTATAAATTCAATTCCCAAAACAAACAAAAGAAAAACAAATATATCTTAAGGGATATAAGAACTGAACTAACCCCTACATTACCCCAAATGTCATATAATTCCCACCCGAATTAACTGTTTTCTTTTGGTTTTCCACATCTTTTCATTCAATCTTTGGATTATTTATGAATTTATTGCTTTACATCATTTGGAATTTATCTCAACAAAAAAAAAGCTTCTTCTAGTGTCAATTTCCAATCTCAACTTCCGATTTCAATCGCTAGGAATCGCTTGCCTCTTTTTCTGTTGCAGCAATCAACGCACAACCATAGAGTGGGTGGGTGCATACCCCTAATTATCACACCCCCTCACGCACAATTCCCCCTGCCCATCTCCATTGCTGGTGGAAAATCTGTGCTGGTGGAAAATCTGTGTAAAATGTGATATCAACATGGAAGCTGTCTGTCCGTCTCCGGTGTCAACCCTCGTCCTGTTTGCCTGTTTCTGCCCCATTGAGTGGTACACAGAAAGAGAGAGAGAGAAAGATATCTGTGTGGCACATCCTAGAGCCATGGCAACCCCCCCTGCCGCATGCCGCATGCCACATGCCACTGGAACTGCCTTTCTGATGGCTTTGTTCTTTGTGTTGTCAAACTGTCAGGATGGCGATTTGCTGCCGCACAATTGATACATTGATAAATGATGCTCCCAGGAGGCACTCACAGGATCTACTCATCCTACTCCTCATACTCCTCCATTCATGCCACTTGGACGCTAATTTTGTGTGACAAACAATCCTCTCTCCCTGCCGCCCCCTTCCCGCTCTCTGGAAACGTGAGACGATTGTCGATTGCGGGGGGGCCAGGGATTGTCGATTGTGTGGGGCACGCACTTAATGTTGTTCTGTCATGCAAGAACCCCATTTTGGTGGCAATTAAATGGATATTAGTTGCCACAAAATAGCCATGTAATCACACTATGAATTTTATTCAAAACATGCCACATGGATTACTGGCTTACTATATTCCATCGATACAGCGGCCATCGTTGCTGTCGCCGGTGATGGGGGAAAAGCGTTCCATTGCGATACATTTCCTGCATGTCGGCGAGGATATCCATTTGCGTCTCATACTCCAACGGCATCGTATCGTCGCCCAGATCCATTGGCGGATAATGAATGTAGCGTGCCTGCATCCACATAGCCTTCTGGTCCTCCGTTTCAAGGGGATACTGAAAATTCTCCACCCGGACCACGGAGCGTCCGGCCCAGGGCACCAGAGCCATGCTGAGGCGTTGCCTGCGATGCAACCTTTGTGGCGGGGTGGCGGAGAGGGCTACTGGTTTAATTGAGAATCAGCAAAGAGTTTTGGACTCACCTCCAACGATGCACTGCGATAAAGAGAGCCACGCCCAGTATAAGTGTGATAGCGCCTCCTAAAAGTCCCATCGACATGTCCGATATCTCATTGGCAAACGACATTTTATTCATTTTCTTGCGTTGGGTTCAACGAATTTACGTTCGAGAAATGAGAGATGACAAATAGGTTGTTTGTCAGCACACAGGGCATACTGTTTGTGGAGAAATAATAAGAGAAAAATAAAGAATCAATTGCAGAATTAAATGAAATTTCGGAATAAATATAGTTAGATGCCTCTCTTGGCGGGTCTCTTGGAAAAAATTTAATGTGTGCGCGCAGTGTTTCACTTACCCATAGAGGGATAACCTGTAGCAGATCCAATCGCGTAGAAATCTCCCAAATATCAGAGCTTCAGAGCTCTGATTTTCAGCATTGCAATGCATTGTGTAAATCAATCCCCAAATCAATCTGTGGAAAGTGTGAAAGACGGGATGCTGCTGCTGTGTGGCTCTCTGGGTATTCCAATTTAGGCAATTATCACTGTTATTACAGTGAGAACTCTCTCGCACACCCACACACCTCCACTGCCACACCCAGTGGAGCAGGAAGGGGGCGAGGGCGGTTCCCCTTCGTATCGTAAATCATTTGCGAGGTGTGAAATTATAAATAGTTTCTCGTGCCTCTGACATTTAAATGCGTTTGTCAGTCAATGCCTGGCGATCCCTGCCTCTGCCCCCCTCCACAGCCTCCTACTGCCCCCCTCTACACCCGGCCACTGCTTCCCCATGCTGCCCCCTTTTAGAGGGCGTGTGTGGGCGCTTCTTGAAAATGAATTTATGACAAGAAAAATATCCCAAAAAAAAGAGGGGAGAGACAATCAATTAAAATTCAATATTGGAATATGGAATACTGGAATACCGATGCGTGCGATGGGACGCCCACACAGGCGCTGCAAAAAGTATCGGCCAGATGGGGGAGCAACAGAGGCATCTCTGGCTGTGTCTATATCTGTATTTGTATCTGAGCTATGGGTGGTAAACTTCACGCGTAGCACTCCTCTAAAATGTACTCCCCACACGCGTATGAATATCTGTCTCTCCCTCTCTCTCCCTTACTTTCTCTCCCTCTCCCTCTCTGTGTGCTTCATTTGTAGCTTTTGTACCTGAAGCTGTGCCTGCTGTATCTGTATATCTGTGTGTATGCCCGTAATTGTATCTGCGTATCTCTGTATCTGTATATCCATCAAATTGTGAGTCATAAGTGGCAGGGCACTTCCGCCTCCAGAGTTCAAAAAACTTCCAAAAACAAACCTCGTGGCCGTCGAATATGTTTGTGTGTGGTTCGGTGGCGATTTGTGAGGTTGATGCCTTGCGGCAGCAATGGGTTTTTCTCTCTCCCTCTGTCCCTCTGCCTCTCTACCTCTCATTTCTCATTTAATTTTCTTAGATTTCTGAGATTTGAGATCTGTACAGAGATTTGTTGTACTTTTGTTGGGCTCCTACTCTGCCGCTGTCTCTGGCTTTGGGATGCCAAAAGCTATCCGCAGAGCTCTTTGTACTGAGCGGATTTGAGGTTGGCCTCTGTGATGTGAGATTATAGGGTATTATCAATGTCGAGCTCTGGCCTTCGGCTGAGGCTTTTGCTGCTGCTGATATTCTGGGAGCGAGGAAGAGTGAGCAAGTGTCTCTCTCTCTCTCTCTCTATCTCTGAGACTCAGAGCAGATGAAAAGGTGTCCCAGAGATTGCAGAGATTTCACTGAAAGTTCCATGGATTTTGTGTGGATTATTCCTCGCTAAATCTGACATGAAATGAAGTCATTTTCTACTGCCTCAGGGATCTTACCACCGGGAATATTTCTTTGACGTCTACCTGGCTATCCATCTATTTTTCTTGCGCCTTGCGATGTTTCAGTGGTTTCTATTTTTAATTTTTTTTGTTGCAGTTTTTACTTTTTCCTTTTATTTAATTTAATTTAATTAATTTCAAATTTATTCTATTGTTTCCTTATCTTCTTTCTGGATCTTCTCCTTAATTGGGGATTTTCCCTCTCAACTTTTCACGATTTTCCCCCCACACACGATTAAAATGTTCGATTCTGTTGCGGATATATATCCCATAGATTGTGGTTCTTGCATGATGTCAGGCTTCAGATCCCTCCACACTCCACTCAACGGAGCCGTCCATCGATCGATCGATCATTCCATTCATTCGACTATTCATCAACTATTCATGAATCCGCCGTCCATCTGCCCCCGTTTCCTCCTTCGTTTAATAATTGCCTGTTGGGCCTTAAATGCAATTAACAATAAGCACACAAAAAACAACAACAGAAACAACGAAAAATAAGAAATAAAAAACAGAAGAAAAAAAAACCAAAATAATCTTCAAACTCCGGCAAATAGCCTCAGTATATTTTGTTGTTATTAATAAATTATTTATATGAACAATAATCTGTGTTCTGTGCTCTGGGAAGTTCTCTCTGTCTCTTCGATTTGAGAATGCATAGAAGGAAGGGGGGAATGTGGCGGGCGGAGACAGACGTTGGCACTCAAGCGGAAAGATCTCTCTGGGGCTGGCTTTTGGCTCTAACAAACCATGAAAATAAAATCATCAAATAATCGAGGAACGAACGACCGACCCATTCGCCCACTTCCGGATGGGCGACTGGCCACCAGCACCTGGCACTGGCTCTAGCGATGCGATCATCTGGTGGTGGTGGGGGGACGGGCTACGGAGACCCATCCACAGGTCGCGCTGTTTCGGGGGGGCACCATTTTGGACATGATTTTGCGGCTGAGCGAACGAGCCAGCAATGGGCACAAATTATGCAAAACAATTTAATTCGCTGCGTGTGTGCGAGTGCGCGCGTACGATCAATCATAATTCTACATGCGGCTTTAATTTGTTTTCACATAATTTGGAAATTCAATTTATAAATATTTAAAGAGATGGCCAAAAGATAAACAAAAGAAGTAAAAAAAAAGCTCAAAAGTATAAACTTGTGAATTTATTCTATTCCCCATTCTATCTGAGAGGAATGATCCGCGCAAAACGATCTGCTGGATCGCAGAAAGATCCCCGGGCATCCTCGCACGATCCATGGAACTGCAAGTCGCTTGGCATCTTTCGTTTTTTACTTTTACTTTTCCATTTGAATTGAATTCATATTTTCTTGGCAATTAAATTGTGTGTTGACCCATTTCCCAGGGGGTCTGGTGGGTGGGTGCCTGCTGCCTCTTCCTGCTGCTGTTTGCCTCGAAGAAGACAAACATAGAAGTTGCCTTTTGAGGCAGGATGATGCTGCTGCTGCTGCACGGGTGGTGGGGCAGGAATGTGTGGCACTGGAGCAGGAGGTTTTCCTTTTGGGAAAACTCAAACAAAACGTACGTCCCCCCCGTCCCGCAGGAAGTTCTCTTCTGTTTCTGTGTTCTACGAGAGATCTCTCTGAATGTTGTCTGCAAATGAAAATGAAAATGGAATTAAGCACACAAGCAGCTGAAGAGCAGGGAAAAGCATAAGTACTCACAAGCATAGATACATATATATATATAAATATATATGTATATATTTGTTCACTTAAAGATACAAGATACAAGGAGGAACAAGAGAGGCCACAACAGCTGTCGGAGGCGGAGGCGGAGGCAGGGGCAGAGACAGAGACAGGCATGGGGCAGCACAAACACACACAAAAAGTTCAAGTATCCCAAAAGTATGCGCTTCTCTTGAGCAAAGGAGAGTGAGAGAAAGTGAGTGCGAGAGAGGGAGAGAGAAATGCACTACCACCCACTCCCCCTCCCAACCAAGTACCCCCTGCTCGCTGCCTCCAAGTCAACTCCGAAATGTGGCATTTTATATTGTTAAACCCTCCTGCTCTCCGCTCCTCCTGCCCCACCCTTTATGTAGCTTGGTTTTGTCTCTGTTTTTCGGGTGAGGGGGGTGCTGGGATATGATACGGGATTTTCTCTTCTGTTTTCCATTCTGGCAATCGCATTACTCGAATGGTTTTGTTTTGTTTGCATCCTCGACATCCTCGTTTATGCTCTTGAAAGCTCTCACTAGAAGAGAGAGATTGAGAGAGTGCTCTGCCCTGCTGATGTGACTTTGATCGGTGGGGCCAAAGCCCCTTAAGCCCTTTTTTGCTAAGCAATTATTCTGCTATCCTCCTCATGGAGTGGCAGGAGGAGAAGGTAGATGAAAGACTAGAATTTTCGTTGATTTCTGGCAAAAATGAATGAAGACTGAGACTCTCTCTCCTTTCCTCTTCTGATTGAATCATACGCGAATGGGAGGGGCACATGTGATCCTCATCCTCATAAGCGTTAGATGCGAGTAATTATGAGTGAAACGACACGAGGGGAATGTGATCTGTATTCTGTAGTATGTATTGTTTCGTATGGCATCTGGCATTGTGCGTGCCGACAGGACCTTAATCATTGAAGAGCCAAAGGATGTCTGTGTTGCTGTTCTCTGCTTCCCTTTTTGTATCGCTGTCACTGTCTGTCTCGCTGGGCTGTCTGTCTGCCATTCAGCGGGCGAATGTGTTTTGAATTATTGCCACGCTGTAAATTCAGCAAAAGGATGATGGTCCCCACACCCCCTGGCGCCCTGCTTCCTGCTGCTGCTGCTGCTGCTGTTCCTCTCGCTCAAGTGAAAAAAGATTGCCCAAAACAAAAGGATATTGTGACAAGGATTTATTAGTGTGTCCTTCGGAGGGTAGCACACACACAGCCACAGCACACAGGATGATGGCAGACTGCAGTCGACGAGGAGCTGTGGGGGGCGATTGCATTGTCTCTCATTTTCCATCCCTGAAATTCTGCGAGCGACCGCCGCGTGTCAAAGTGCAATTATTGCACGTTCCTCGACTGCCGCCGCCGCCGCCTCAGAATCATCTGGGAATTTATGTGGCATTCAATCTGTTCTCGCCTGCCGCTCTTTAAGGGACCCTTTTGGTATGGGGATGGGCGCTTGGGGGGGTTCTTTGGCGCCCCAAAATATCGAAAGGAATTTGACTAATTTATTTAATGGCTTTGGTTATTACCAGAACATGGTCCTTAGGCAAGGCGCAATCCTTGAGAGGGAGAGAGAGGCAAAAATAATGGCCCAAAATCTGCTGCTGCAAAAAGTTTTATTGCAATTGCCAAATTAATTTTGGGGCGTCCCCCCCCCAAAAAAAAGGCAGGCGGGCGGGCCCGACGACACACAAATGTGCGTTCAT